TAGTACGTTTCGATCATCCAGTTTTTTAACTTTTAAAATGCGATCTCACACATGTTCAGCATTGCATGACATTGTGGTTTAATTATATCCATGTTCAACTCTTGGATTAATCACTAATCGCGGTGCTAATCGCATGCTGACTGGGACTACAGTACATAATGTTTCAACTAATCCGGTATAAATAGGCCAAACCAGCCAACCAGCCCAATAATTCTACACCTACGTACACTTACGGGCCTAAACCTTCCACTAATCCCTCCGGCCCCCTTGATTTTAACTATGGGCCCCGCCCTCCTGATTTCCAACTAACAAATCATTAGATGCCACGATGATTTCGTAAGGAGTTTACGTAAAAAGATTACGTAAGTGTAGCAAACCTCAACCATCCCAATCATCCCACTAACTGTGCAACAGCAGCAGAGCAATCTTCTTCTTCTTCTTCGTTCTCTCTTCAATGGCCAAGATCCAACCCCTTCCTACGGCCACCTCGTCGTCGTCCTCCTATGATCACCGCCAGGGCCAGCGGAGCAAGCAAGCGTACACGGTGTGGATGAAGTCGCTGGTGTTCAACGGCAACAGCTGCGCGGTGTACGGCCCCGACGGCAACGTCGCCTTCCGGGTCGACAACTATGGCTGCAGGGGCGGCCGTGAGGTCTTCTTCATGGACCGTGCCGGCAACGCCCTCATCAGGATCAGGCGCAAGGGCTTCGGCATGTTCAGGAGATGGGAGGTATGCCGGTGCGTGCACCAGGAAGCGACGCCGTTGTTCACCGTGCGGTGGGCCGAGAAGGGCGGGGCCGCAGTTGCGATGCACGGCAGCACGGGAACATGCTAAGGATCAACGGGTGCTCTGCCAGCAAGAGGGAGTACAAAGTACGCGGCGTTGATGGCGCGGCCGTGGCGGAGGTGACCCGGAAGCAGACATCGACGGGGGTGGTGCTGGGGGAGGACGTGCTGACGCTGACGGTGGCGTCGGAAATGGATCACCTGCTCACCCTGGGCTTGGTCGTTGTGCGTGGCCTCATCAACCGCTCCTTGTGGCCTTCTTCTTCTAGTTCAGTTTCAGGTCTCTGTACGTAGCAACGTAGATGATGAGAGTAGGAACAATGTTTTAAATAGCAGGCTATGACATATAGTGGCAACCCTTAAAAACAACTATAACTGGGCTATAGCGGCAAATTATACATGAAATCATTTAGCAGCAACATGCTAGAACAGCTATAGCAGAGCTATAGCGGGGCTATAGCTGGCTATTTGAAACTACGGTAGGAACGTTGTAGGTGGTTCGTGTGACCATTTTTTTTTACGAACAATTCAGCAAGTTTTTGCCCATGCCAATTGACATGGTGACTCTTTTTGGTATATGACTTTTTTTCCCTTTCTCAAAGGGTTTTCCACCACCAGTTGAAAAACAAGGTTATACAGTCATTGCATAAATCTTTGGATATGTGCTCGATTTCCAGGTTGTCGATGTGTTATCCTCAGTTTGTGGGTTTACTTAGTTTAGCTGTACGATGAAACACAAATGTTAGCATATGAAACTCCAATAAAAGACTTGATGGCCCCACACAGAATAAACCGAGAGTCGCCGGCCTCTTGGACACTGACACACACAAAAACATTAGTCAGTCACTGCCCACTTGCAGATGCAGCAAGCAGCTGTCACATTGAAAATGTCTCGCATGAAAAGAAAGTTCAATCGGGCACACCACAAATTCAACGCAAAGAAGAAAAGAAGAGCGCACATCAACATCAGCCTACCAAAACGATGTCAGTGCCACTGCCAGCCTTATTAAATTCAGTCAATTTATCGAGGAAACCAGAGTACAAAGTGTGTACAATGAGTGGAAGACCATTACGCAGAGACGGTGATGGAGATAGCTGCCGGCTTGAAAAAGAGCAGGCGAGCAGCAGACGGTCTCTCTCCCTCCCTCCCAAAAGGTTGGAATAATTCACCAGCTGAGATGTATACGTGACGAGTGGTGGACAATATGAACTTGAGCCTATAACATGAGAAAAAGAAAAACTGCAAATCCCCATGCTCGATTGCATGAACTACACTTATTTATGTATGCTACTTTTAAAGACAACTTTTCTTTCCTTCATCCTATCAGAGTGTTTAGAAGTTATTACATATGTTGTCAAATCTAATATTGTACTCCCTCTATCCCAGAATGTAGCCCCGTTGTGCGCAGTTGTAACCAAAAGGCGGGCATTATATACTCTTATACAAAAGATTAGTTTGTAAGAATTGCATGATTAATTGTTTCCTTCAAAATTACATGATAAATTCAATGCAGGACACATGGACTTCACCATGTTAGGTGTCTAGTGTAACAAATTCGATTGTTGTATTGTACCTAGCTCCGCCTATGTTAGCACTATCACTAACTTTTGAAACAATTGCGAGCCTTGGTGCAATACACCGGTAAAATGTCAATGCTTGAAAATGACATGACTGCTTTCCTTCAGGGAAAAATGGCATGACTGTTGCATGGAGAACTTAAAATACTTTATTGAGCAATATTCTTGCTGCCTCACACATTAAAAAGTGTTTACTCGTCAACTCGTGTAAACAACAACATTACATGAAAGTCCAATGCTTTACAATCTCGCTGGTCCCAAGGAAAATTTTCTCTGACTAGCACTAGCATCCACATATACTAACACATGCGCAAAGAGGACGGAAGTGAGTGGGAACATGTGGCTGCAGGCCCAACTTGGTCTGTATGGAAACTTTTGTGGCGAAAAGGACTTGAGTGAGGAAATTCAGCACTAACTAAGAAAAAGGGAAAAAGAAATGGAAGGCACTTGGACATACGCTCCGCTGACTCCCTTTGGCTCTCGAGCACCACGTATCTTACTGACAATAAAAAAAATCATTTCCAAAAATGTATAAATGAAAACAAACCAACTGTTCAAAGTATCCATACATGAGTTCAACCATTAAATTTTCATATCCAAATTCAGACATGTATGACATGTGCAAAACTAACAACTCCGGCCCTGCTATTCAAAATTTGAATCCGCCATTATTTATCTATTTTGCAGGGAGAATCAAAATGTTATTTGTACTAGGGGTCAAGAGAACGGTTTAGATGAAGGTCCTTGACTACAATGGGCCGCCCCTAAAATGTGTTCTCCCTTTTATCTTGTTTTAATTTCCACGATGTGACGTGGACATCACACACGTGTGTGTATCTACTAAGCTCCCGGAGCCTTTCTTTCTAGTGTCAAAAAACGTTCTTATATTTTGGGACAGAGGGAGTAGAAAATATGTGCAATACCCGTTCTTAAACTGAGGCTTCCTCTCTGCCTGTCGTACTGGCTAGCTAGCTAGTTGAGCTGCTCCACACGTAGACAACTCGTACCATACCATAAACGCGCAAAGAAAGAAAGAACTGAGTTATCCATCGTCCACACGTCGAGGCTCGATCAGTTTTACGTACAATATTATATGGTAGGTATCATGTGTACACATGGATTTTGCGCTCTCGAAAGGATAATATGGAGATCACTACTGATTCCTCAGAAGTCATCTCCCGTTGCGACGATATAGTTTACGCTGCAATATTAGCAGAGTTGTACTCCTAGTAGCTGGTCTGAACAAACTTCCCTCCCAACCTCCCAGTTTTATGCTAGGTCTTGCTTTGTTTTACACAGCAGCATTGTCCTTGTGAGTTGTGAGTTGGAAGCTAATTAATCAGTCGATCTTCTGTCAGAGCTGGAGGCGGATTTCATTAATCCAGCAAGAGCATGAGTAAAATCAAAATCACAGCTTCTTATTCTCATGCAGTTATGCTTTCTGCAACCAAAAAAAAGAATTAAAAAAATCTTATTCAGTTCTGCAATGTGCGTATATAAAGTAATAATGTTGTAAACAAAACAAAGTTGAGGGCCTGACATGACACAAGGGGGGACACAATGACTCAAGTTTGTCGCCCCACGGTCATGAACACTTCACGGAAAACGAGAGAAAACCGAACTGGCCCGACTGCTTAATTAATTGATTAGGCGCAAGTACTTATCCTTTCTTCAGGCAGCTAACGTACATGGCTACATGTCTGCTTTCTTTCTACTCGCCAAAGCAGAACAAATCTATTTTCTGACAAGGGGTCGACATAGTACGTCTCGATCATCCATT